CCTGCTCCTCCTCCTCCTCCTGCTCCTCATGCTCCTCCTCATCCTCCTCCTCCACCTCCTCCTCCTCATCCCCTCAAGAGGGGCGTATCCGCCCTGCTGGCCAAGGGCTAGACGGCGCACGCACCAGTCCTGGGCACGGGATCGGCCAGGCCAGGATCGGTGTATGTGTGCAGATGGTGTCCCCCCGAGGTGAGGGAGAGGAGGAAGGAGGAGGACTGACTGACTGAGCACTGCTGAGCACGTGCGTTTCACGACCTGCTCCATAGCTCAACTTCGCAACAAAGCGGCTTGACACACGTGCTGGATCTGTGATGATCAAGCAGATGTAGGAGGAGGAGCCTGCCTGGCAGCTCGCTAGGGGAGGAGAAAGAAGAGGAGAAGGAGGACGAGGAGGAGGCAAAGAAGGACGAGGAGGACAAGAAGGTGGAGGAAGAGGAGGACCAGCGGAACATCAAGACTCATGAACGAAGCTCCACCAGACCCTCCCCCAATGTTCCCTATTCACAGGTCCAAACAAGGGTTAAGTTTCACCAAAGACAACTGCCCCGTGGGAAAGCAACCGTCTGAACATCCTGAACCGTGGCAGAGCGCCGTTCCCAGGACTTTAACGTCGCGAATCACGTACTCTTGCGCCCTGACGACCCTGAACCGTGCCAAAACACCATTCATGGGACTTTAACACCGCGACCCCAAGACGCCCCCCGGACCCAAGGAGCTTCAACAGGCCCCCCAAAGCCCCCAAGAGACCCCCAGCGGGCCCTCAAGAAGTTCAAAAAATACCTCCCAAACGCCCCCGAAACGCCTCACACGAGACCCCATCTGCCATACGAGTGGCCTCAGACCCACAGTCCAGGCACGGTGGCAGGACGTGACGAAAGCCACTCGATAATCATTTTTCTTGTAGGTTGACAGATGCCCGCGGTAAGGTCAACGTGGGTTCTCGCCCGTTTCCCGATGCGTGCACGACGAACACTGAAAATGTCAGCCGCTGAAATCAATACTGCCGGCGCGGACGGTGCCGCGATTGCTGGGGGCCTCTGGGGAATCCTTCGCGAGCACACGGTGGACTGCCAGAGAGAGCTCCGACACGCCCCACATCTCGTTCCAAGACGCCCACGACAGCTCCAAAACGTAGATGGTATCGAGACGGCCACCGACCCGCCCAAAACGGCCCAAGAATCAAGAATCAACCAGTGGTGCGTCGGAAACACAAGTTCTTGCTCTCCTACGCGCACTTCAAAGAGAGGCATCGTTCCTCCTCTAATCGAGATCACGTCCCCTTCAATCACCTCCCCGCCAAGCTTCTCCTGAGCAACATCCCGACCCAAGCTTTCGAGACGAGACTCCTGCGATCAAGGCCCCCTCGCGGCCTACACGAACCACCCAAAGACTACGCCCGCAAACAACATTCCACCAGCCATTGGGGCATCGGTGGGTTAGGTGGGCCTCTCTTCCAAACCCCCTCTTCCCCTTCGGAGAATGATTTGCACGTGCTTCTTATACATACAAAGACCCATCCCCACTCGACCAGCGGCCGACCCGAAGCAAAGACGCTCCCCCACCATCCCTGCCGAAATACAATACAAAATGCATGTTGCGACATGATCTGGATCATCTTCCGGCGTCCCGCCATCACTGCGCATTGTTGTTTTACACGACGGCCGGGGGCATCATACCAACCCGTGTGCGCACACACGCCATCCCTCTCAACAAACACTGCAATGTGCACGTAGCGTGAAAATCCGCCGACCCCTTGGGGTGTCATCAGCGTGCGCGGTGCTCCCTCCTCCCCCGAGCCCCTTCCCTCGGAGCCCAAGCTGGTCGATTTGGAGGGAGGGGGGTCCGCCCGGATGCCCCGTGTCCGGCCTAAACGCATCATGGAAGGATAGAGGGCCCCGCAACGAGCCAAGAAGGGCCCAAGAGGCCCCCAAGACGGTCCAAGTGGGCCCCGAGTCACCGAAAGATCCTCCAGGACGGCCGAGACGGCCTCCAGACAGCCCAAGACGCCCCCAAAACGCCCCAAGAGGCCTCCAAGAGCCCCCCCCTAAGAGGGACCCAAGAGGCGACATTCATTGAGTTTCAATTGGTTATGGTCAAGTGGCACACCAGTGGTGCACCAGGCCTCTGCCCTCACCAATGGGGCTAAGACGCCACAAAGCTATACCACTTCAAGCTCCTCCTCCTCCTCCTCGTTCTGCTCCTCCTCCTCCTCCTCCTCCTCCTCCTCCTCCTCTTCCACCTCCTCCTCATCCTCCTTCATTGAAATTACTATTATCATTCTTCCTCCTCCTCCTTCTCCTCCTCCTCCTCCTCCTCCTTCCTCCTCTCTCCTCCTCCCATCATCATCATCATCATCATCATTCATCATCATCATCATCATCATCATCATCATCCATCATCATCATCATCATCATCATCATCATCATCATCATCATCATCATCATCATCATCATCATCATCATCATCATCATCATCATCATCATCATCATCATCATCATCATCATCATCATCATCATCATCATCATCATCATCATCATCATCATCATCATCATCATCATCATCATCATCATCATCATCATCATCATCATCATCATCATCATCATCATCATCATCATCATCATCATCATCATCATCATCATCATCATCATCATCATCATCATCATCATCATCATCATCATCATCCATCATCATCATCATCATCATCATCATCATCATCATCATCATCATCATCATCATCATCATCATCATCATCATCATCATCATCATCATCATCATCATCATCATCATCATCATCATCATCATCATCATCATCATCATCATCATCATCATCATCATCATCATCATCATCATCATCATCCATCATCATCTCATCATCATCATCATCATCATCATCATCATCATCATCATCATCATCATCATCATCATCATCATCATCATCATCATCATCATCATCATCATCATCATCATCATCATCATCATCATCATCATCATCATCATCATCATCATCATCATCATCATCATCATCATCATCATCATCATCATCATCATCAGCATCAGCATCAGCATCAGCATCATCATCATCATCATCATCATCATCATCATCATCATCATCATCATCATCATCATCATCATCATCATCATCATCATCATCATCATCATCATCGCGACTCCTCCACTTCTACCGCCTCGCCAGACCTCGCTCGCGCGCGCTGGGCCACGGCGCGGGCCTCCCCCGTGTCGGTGAAGCCAGACACCAGCAGCGCCTGGATGCAGGCCGGGTGCCTCGAGTTTGCGAGGGGTGGGCGCCCGGGTCCTCCCGCCTGTCCGTCCCTCCTCCACGGCCCACTTCCTCCTGCCTCCTCGCGATATATATATATATATATATATATATATATATATAATATTATATATATATATATCGGAGGTGAGGGGGTGAGATCGAAGTGGAACGGAGAGCCCCCTTACCGGGAAATCGATTTCGGTTTCGTGTTCGTGCGTGCCGTGCGTGCGGGCGAGGCGAAGCTGCGTGGGCGGGCGAGAGAAAGTCTCCTGTGGCTGAGGCGCGGCCGGACCAAATGACTCCCTTCCGGGCGGCCGGTGGCCCGCGGTGTCCCGCCGGTGTCCCGCGAAAGTCCCGTGTGGCTGAGGCGCGGCCGGACCAAATGATTCCCTTCCGGGCGGCCGGTGGCCCGCGGTGTCCCGCCGGTGTCCCGCGGTGTCCCGCGGTGTCCCGCGGTGCCCCGCGGTGTCCCGCCGGTGTCCCGCGGTGTCCCGCGATGATGATGATGATGATGACGATGATGATGATGATGATGATGAGATGAGATGAGATGAGATGATGAGATGATGATGATGATGATGATGATGATGGTGATGCTGATGATGATGATGATAATGCTGCTGATGATGTTGACGACGATGATGATGATGATGATATGAGGATGATGGTGTCCCGATGATGATGATGATGCTGATGATGATGACGATGATAATGATGCTGATGATGTCCCGATGATGAGGATGATGATGATCATGATGATTATGTTGATGATCATGATGATGACGACGATGCTGTCCCGATGATGATGAGTATGATGATGTTGATGTTGATGATGCTGATTATGATTGTGTCCCGATGATGATGATGATGTTGATGATGAGGTCGATGATGATTCTGGCGTCCCGATGATGATGATCATTATGATGGTGATGATGATGAGGTCTGAGATCCCCTGGTGGCCAGACGATTCTTTACAGCGAAGCTGTGCGAATATATTCTGTTGTGTGCAAGCTCGAGCTTCGAAACACGGAGCGGCTCGAGCTTCGAAACACGGAGCGGCTCTCGGACCGCTTCACAACGACCCTGAAGGATTAATTACAGCGCAGGGTGGCACGAGGGCGGGTGCGCTTGAATTGTTGCGGAGCAAGAACGGCCACGGAACGGATCAGCACCAGACCAGGGCGATACAAACATCTGACTAGGTCTGAGATCCCCTGGTGGCCTGACGATTCTTTACAGCGAAGCTGTGCGAATAGATTCTGTTGTGTGCAAGCTCGAGCTTCGAAACACGGAGCGGCTCTCGGACCGCTTCACAACGACCCTGCTGTGCCCTACCTGGCATCTGGCCGCTTTATGCCTAAAAAGAGTCTGTTGAAGAAACCTTCTGAAAGCCTCGAGGCTCCCGAGGAGATCCAAGAGCACACCCAAGACGCGCACGGACGAGACAAGTGAATAAAAGGCGAGGGGGTGGGCGGGGTCGCACGAGCGTGGACGCACGGACCGCCGACTTCGTCGGGGAACCCACAAGAAAACCCCAGAGCCCACATGTTGTCGTGGTTAGCTCGTCGGCAGCCAAACTTGCACGGGGAGATCCTCGCGTGCCTCCCGTCACAAATGGTGGGCAGCTGTCTAAAGAGAACGGAGTGCGCGGAAGCGCTTGCTGATGGGTAAATAGCGATGCAAGGACACTTTAAAGTTAGGCATTTGTGAAGAAGACGGGCTAGAATATTGCTAGCTTCAGTCTCACCGAACCTGGGCCAAATCAGAACGACTCCCCGGACGCGGCGAGACGAGATCCATCCCACGAGGCGGCGATATACGATGGCGGTAGCCAGCAGGGAGCCGTTTATCCACGCACTGCAGCCCGAGATGCGGCCGTCCTCGGCCCGCGCGATCTCGCCCGTCCCGAAGCCGACTTCGAGGAAGGTCTGGCCAGCGGCAGCGCGGCACGCGCGGGCAAGGTCTTGCAAGGCCTGCCCGACGCCAGCGCCTCCGCCTTGAGGAAGCGGGGGCGCCGCGGTCGCCGCTGCTGGCCGAGGATCTGGCCGATGCTGTCCTCGACCTCCTGGGCCCACTCCGAGACCTCGACGTCGACCTTCTCGAGCTCCGCGAGGTAGCGCACGTGCCGCGAGTACCGAGCCGTGCTCTGCGCGCTCGTGTGGCGTAGACGTGCTTGCAGCTCGGCCAGAGGCATGCCCTCCACCGCCGTGGCGCGCGACGCCGCGGAGTGCCGCAGCTGGTACGGGATCATGTCGGGCGCACCCGGGACCAGTGACAGCCGACGTCGGAACTCGGCGCCGAAGGTCGTTGCGCTGAACGACCACAGGGGCAACCCAGCGGGCCGCGCCGCGCGGAGCAGCTTCAGGAAGCTCCCGCAGCCGCCACGCCAGGCCGCGCTCCGCAGCAGCACGCCCTCGTCCTGCGCGAGCGACTTGCTGCAGGCCGATCCCTCGATCGGGTACAGCAACAGCGCCCAGCGGGGCTCCTCGCCGCGGCCTGGGCCCACCAGCGTGTCGACCGTCATGCCGACGAGGTCGCTCGGGAGGCGGATCATCGCGTCCCACGCGAGCGCGACCGCCCCCGCCCACTCGAAGTCCCCCTCGAGCGCGGCGATCCCGATCATCGCCCACACGATCGGCTTCCCGACGGGCGACATCGGAGTGCTCCTCGAGTGCACTCGAAAGCCAGAGAGCGCGGCCCGCGCCAGCGGAAGGCCGCCGTGCTTCGGCCGCGGCACGCGCGGCAGCCTGTATTGCACGGACGCCAGCAGCCGCGAGCCCGTCTCCGCCAGCTCCCCGTCCCAGAACAGCTTGTCCAAGTAGGCCGCCAGGAGGGCGTCCAGGCGGTCCGCCGTGATGTCGTCCAGCGACGGCACGGCGGCCCAGGCCAGGAAGCTGGTCACGTGGTTGTCGAAGCTGCGGATGGTGGCCTCCCGCACCTTGTGCCTCTGCAAGAAGGTCAGCTCATGCCGAGGGTCGCAGTTGGGTCCGCCGAACTTCGCGGCTCTGAGCTTCGCCCGATTGGCCTTCTGGCGTGCCAACTCGACGCGACCCGCCGCCTTCGACCGAACTGGAGGCGGAGCTCCAGGCTTCGCGCTCGGAGGGGGTGTCTTGGTCTTCCCCGCCTTCAGAGGAGCGCGAGCTCGCTGCGGTCGTGGTGGCGGCGGCGGCCTCCTCCTCGGGGTCGCATAAGTCGTGTCGCCGACGGCGGAGCAGGCCGATCGGATCGTCGTAGTGGAGTCGCCGAGCCTTCTCGTCAGCGGCCGCCCGAGCGAGGCTAGCCCAGGCCGTGCCAACATTCCGCGGGTCGGCTGCAAAGGGAGTCGGCTGGCCCGTCACGGTGCGTGAGCCTTTGTCTGAAGTGTTCCACTCTGAAGGTAGCCATCTCACGGCTACGGACATATCGTGGATAATGCTGTAGCTGCACAACTCTCTGCAGGTCTGATTGATCAAAGGGGATGCGGAACGACCTTTTTCCACTCCCAGTACCAAAGAAAGGTTATCATTAAGCATGAGGTGAAGATGACCCCGAGACCGCAAGGCCCGCATCTTGTGGCGCACGCCGAGCGCGAGGGCACGCCCCTCGAGCCTCAGGATGTTCTCCTCGCGGCACCAGCGGCCGAAGGTCACGTTCCGCCAGGCCTCCATCGGGAAGACGACGTCCGAGTCCACAGTGGCGAAAGACATTCCGTCGGACGGATCCCTCGAGGTGTCGCGGGCGGCGAAGGCGAACTCCCGGGCGTGCAGGGCTCCCTCCACGTGGTAGCGCCACCGCTCGCGAACCCGAGCTGTCTCCAACACCAGCTGCTGGCTGAGCTCCCGCTTGGTGACCCCGTAGCCGCCGTACAAGCTGCCCGCAGGGTCGAGGTCGCCCGTGCTAGCGTCGGTGGAGTAGACCGTCGAGTCCACGGGCCGCTTCGCGTCGCAGTAAGCGAAGGGCACGAGAGCGGCGGCGACTCGCAGCTCACGAATCACCTCGGGCCATATCCTCCAGCGGCTGTCACCCGCCTTCTTGATGAACCGATACGTCGACTGGAAGATGCACAGGAGTGGTCGGCGAAGAAGGGCCGCCCAGTTGAAGTGCCCGACCAGGCTGGCCAGCTCCTTTCCCGTGGCGTAGCGCTGGGACGCCTGGCACAGCAGCGCCTGGCGGATCTTCCACATCCGCGACCGCCCCAGCGATATCCTTCCCGACTCTCTATCGAAGATCAGACCTGTGAACTTCTGGTGATCGCTCGGCGGCTCCATCTCCTTGCACTGGAGGCCCGCCGCGTTGAACGCGCCGTGCACCGTCTCCAGCTGCGAGACGACCACGTCGTACTTGGAGCCGATCACGGCGACTCCGTCGACGTAGGCGGCGGCGACGGTCTCGCCCTCGAGGTCGGGAATCACCTTCCTCTCGTGGACGAGTCTGTGATCGCCGATGCCGACGGTCCTCAGCATACCCTCGACGGCGTGCTGGCAGAAGAACAGGCTCCAGTTCCAGCCCATGGGCAGCACCTTCAGACAAGGCGAACACCTGCGACCGACGATGCCGTCGAGAGTGCCGCTCGGCAGCACGTTGGCAAGAGCACCGCGATCGATACTCGGGAGAATCATCAGCTCGCTCAGACCAGGCGGCGCAAGGAACCGATAGAAGGCTGCCTCGATGTCGCACTGACCGAGGAAGAGGCTGCTGTCGGCCCCGAGCCGCAGGCTCTGCCAGCTGCCTGCCGTCGGCAGCTCGGCGACGTCGGGGTCATAAAACATACGATTGACACGCCGGGTGTCCAGAACCATCCGCTGCTGGCCGCTCCCGTCCCGCTTGGCGACGAAGAACGGCGCGAGCGTGTGCTTGCGCTCGCTGGTGAATTCGATCATCCCCGCATTGAACAAGTCGTGCAAAAAGCTGGCGTAGAGCTTCGGCGAGCTCTTCAACCTGGCGTCGAAGTGAGGTGGTACATTAGCAAGCCACTCCTTACGAGGGCGCAAGAGATGCTTCTCCCAGTCCTGCCACAAGTCGCGCACGGACTCCGACAACAGGTAGGCGGGCTCGCACTTCCTGGAGTCCGAAGGCACCGCCACGCTCCCTTCGGTGAACAGAACCGCCTTCGCTGGGGACATGTCGTACCCAGGAGAACACCCACGCAGCTCAGTGTAAGCCGCCGTGGGACTGACATCGGGAGGCCCGAACTCCAGCAGGTGGTCGTAGAGCGACTCGATGCCAGTGAGCTGCGCCGCCGATAACTTGTCGAACCCGTCGCCGCCCAGGCGCCCGTTGAGAAAATTGAGCGCCGAGACGACCTCGCAGGTCCACAGCTCGACGGCCAGCTGCCGGCGGCCCCGGCTCCGCCGACTTCGGGAATTTGAAAAACATGCATTGTGGTTGCGCCGCTCGAAGTGCGCAGTCGCAAGGTCCAGCGGGATCGGAAGGACGTCCCGCTGGACCACCATGATCGTGAAAGTGAAGGGAGCGTCAGCCCCCCTCCCCGCCAGCGGTAGCACCTCCACGGCCCTTTCCCTTAGAGTCCGCCCTGGGTGCAGCCGCCAGCTGCTTCTTCAACTTCTCGATCTCCGACTTCTGGCGATCAACGGTGCTCTGCATTCCTGAAAGGCGTGCCTTGCCGTCACCGCCGCCCCCGCCGCCGTGTCCGTCATCACCCCGCGAGGCCATCCGCTCCTCCTTCAGCTTCCGCCGCTCCTTGAGAACGAGGCTCTCCTTGTGGAGCTCATCCGTCACGAAAGTGAGCAGCTTCGGCGAGATGCAGACCAATCCGCGGGTCTCGCCCGTCCCGAGGTACAAATGCGAGTCCTCGAGCAGCTCGTCACCTCGAGAGGTCGTGAGAACCCTCTCGCGATGGCGGTACTCGGCCATCTGGAGTCGACGACATACCAGTTCTGCACACGACAGCTCGCTGGCGTTGAGCTGGTCGCAGGTCAGCAGCAGATGCATGATGCGGCAGCAGAGCTCATGGACGGAGACGTCCTGGTCCGACGACGACAGTCCCGTCTCGGCCTTGAACTTGGCGTGCCGAGACCTGAAGGTGACGTCATTCTCCCGCACGAACTCGCACACCCACTTCACGGTGCGGGGCCCGTTGATCGGGAAGAACTCCCACTGCGTCTCGGTGAGCTCCGCCACAGCCTCACGCATACCGAGGAAGCGCTCCGTGGTGTTGGCCCGCAGCGCGAGGACGCGCGCGTCGAGCTCGTCCCCGCCGTCGGGAGGGAGAGCCCGCACCAGCATCGTGCGGCCCCCCTTCATCGCCATGCCGAACCCCGACGCGATCACGAAGGCGTCCAGGTCCTCGTCGGGCAGCAAGCCCTTCCCCTCGCCGTCGCTCGAGGCGATGCAGCGCCAACGCGACGGCGAGGGGTCTGGGAGGCGCCCGCGGCCAGAGCCCCACTCAGTCGGAATCTCCGCCGAGGCCAAGGCCGATCCTGAAGGCGCTCTCGCCGCCGCCGGCCTCGCCTCCGCCTCGGGCTCCTCGGGGGCTCCAGCCGCCGCCGCCGCCGTCTCCAGCACCTCGTCGAGCGACTGCCCCAACACGAAGCGCAACTGGAGCGCGAAGGCTGCGGGGCTCATCACCCAGTCCCTGCCGTAGGTGCCGACGCCCACGGGGTTGGCCCCCTCTCGGTTGGCCAGCTGCCTCCGATCCGTCATATCGTACGGCACGATGATACGCAATGCCTGGGCCGTCAGCTCGTGCGGGTAGACGTCTCCGTCGGGCGTCGCCATATACCACAACCTCCCGTCCTCGTCGGCCTTCTCGCTCGGATCCAGACTCGTCACTTCCCGATAGTCGGTCGGTGAACACGGCGCGATCGCAATGCGGGCCTGCATGCTCTCGCCGCCGCGCCACTGGATATCGAACCGCTGACCTGCTCGAACTTGGAACGGCATAGCGTCCGACGAAGACGCCCAGGAAGAAGGACGCGATGGAGATCAGGGCCGCTCCCCACTTCAGCGAGCCGACGAGCCCGTACGCGACCGCACACTCGGTCGCGTTGCCGAGGGAGCTCTCCACGAGGCCCCAGGCCTTGTCGGAGACAATCCAGGCGCCGACGCGGGCGAGGCCACCAGCCACGGAGGACAGAGGCATGAAGCGGCCGCTTTCTCTGTTTGCGCTTGAATTGTTGCGGAGCAAGAACGGCCACGGAACGGATCAGCACCAGACCAGGGCGATACAAACATCTGACTATGTTGATGATGATGGCGTCCCGATGGTGATGATGATGATTGTGATGATGATGATGATGTTGATGCTGATGTTGGTAATGATGATGATGGTGCCCAGATGATGACGATGATGGTGTTGATGATGATGTTGATGATGCTGATGATGATGTCGATGATGAGGATGAGATGATGATGATGGTGTCCCGATGATGATGATGATGATGATGATGATAACGATGGTGATCATGATGGTGTCCCGATGATGATGCTGCTGCTGATGATGATGATGACGATGACTGTGTACCGATGTTGATGATGATGATGCTGATGATAAAAATTGTGATGATGGTGATGATGATGATGATGGTGGTGCCCCGATGATGGTGATGACCGTGATGATGATGATGCTGGTGTTGATGATGAGGACGGTGTCCCGATTATGATGATGTTGGTGATGATGATGTTGATGTTGATGTTGTTGTTGATGATGATGATGATGACGTTGATTGTGAGAGCGGTTGTGATATCGATAGTGAGATCGATAGTGAGACCGAATGTGATATCGATTGTGAGATCGATTGTGAGATCGATTGTGAGATCGATAGTCAGATCAATTGTGAGATAGATCGAGTGAAATCGATTGTGAGATCGATCGAGGGAGATCGATCGAGCGAGACCGATACTGAGATCGATAGTGAGATTGATAGTGAGACCGATCGAGTGAGACGTTGGTTCCTCCCCCCGAACCTCCTTATCACCCGAAGGGTGGTCGTATAGGTATATATATATATATATACATGTATGTGTGTACATCCTCCTCGTCCTCCGCCTCCTCCTCATCATCATCATCAGCCTCCTCCTCCTCATCATCATCATCAGCATCATCATCATCATCGTCATCATCATCATCATCCTCATCATCATCATCATCATCATCATCATCATCATCATCATCATCATCATCATCATCATCATACTCCTCCTCTCCAACTCCATCTGCCTCCTCATCATTCCTCCCTTCTCCTCCCCTGCTCCGCCTCGGTGATCGAGGCTGAAGGCAAGCTCGCTGGTGGCAGCTGGCGCCCGGGACCCTCCCACACTGGCCGTCTCCAGGTAAGAAAGCATCCACTCTGTCTCCTCATTCATCTCCTCCCCCTCCTCCTCCTCAGCCTCCTCCTCATCCTCCTCCTCCTCCTCCTCCTCCTCCTCCTCCTCCTCCTCCTCTCCCTCATCTTCCTCTTCCTCCTCATCGTCCTCGTCCTCCTCATGTTCCTCCTCTTCCTCCTCCTCCTCCTTCTCCTCGTCCTCCCCGTCCTCGTCCTCCTCCTCATCCTCCTCCTACCCCTGCCCCTTCCTCTCCTCCTCCTCCTCCTCCTCCCTCCTCCTCCCTCCCTCCTCCTCTCCTCTCCTCCTCTCCTCCTCTCCTCCTCCTCCTCCTCCTCCTCCGCCTCCTCCCTCCTCCTCCTCCTCCTCCTCCTCCTCCTCCTCCTCCTCCTCCTATTCTTCTTTGTAGTATTAGTATTAGTAATATGCTTCGCAATGTTATTAGCATGAGTGTGCTTATTATCATTATGCGTGCGATCGTATGGCTATTATCATTCGCATTCCTTCTTCGAAAATATTTACTACTATTATTAGTATTATGATTATACGAGATCTTATGCGCACTATGCACGTAATCTTATGATTCGTAGGTCGTGTCTTGTTAATCGTTTTAAGTGTACTAGTATCCCGATTCGCACACGTATTCGTATCATTCAAACTGTTGGTGGTGCTGCTAGTCGTACTCGCCTGATCATGCGTATTCGCAACACTACGTGTAGTATCATGATTCGCCCTATCAGTATGAGTATGCCTCTTGATCGCTTAATAGTATTACTAGGCGTCTTAGTATTATTCGTCTTACTATTATTCGTAACTATACGACTAGAAGTATCAGTATTAATCTTAGTTGTCCTAGTATTATTAATATTGGTATTGGCAGTCATCGTCGTCTTCTGCATATTGCAATTACTCGTATTATTCGGATTAATCATATCAATATTATCCGTCTCCTTCTTCTTCCTCTCCTCCTCCTCCTCCGCCTCCTCCTCCGCCTCCTCCTCCGCCTCCTCCTCCGCCTCCTCCTACGCCTCCTCCTACGCCTCCTCCAACGCCTCCTCCTCCTCCGCCTCCTCCTCCGCCTCCTCCTCCTCCGCCTCCTCCTCTTTCTCCTCCTCCCCATCCTCCTCCTCAAGCACACACACAGGCGGGCACCCGACTACCCGGACCTCAGTCCGCCATCTTGGAGCAAAATGTTCGTGCGGGACGTCGGCGACATGGTGCTACCATCAGGCACATCCAACCAGGCCATGTGAGGGGTAAGAGGTGGAAGGCGGCAAAGCGGCTCGTCATGGCGTATCGGGCGAGTAAGGTCTACAAGGAGACGAGGCACATCCTGCACTCAGCCATCCTGCCCATGAAGAAGTGGGGCGGCGAGGTCAGCGGCTTCACCCTACAGGAGCTCGACCGCGTAAGGCGCATCACTAAGCAGGTCTACGGGCACGGCCACATGTGATCGGAGGTGCTCGGCGCCATATATCTGAAGATCGACCCCATCGGCAAGGCCGCCTTCATGCCCCTGGGCCGCTACCTGGAGGAGCTGTGGAGGGCCACGGATGAGCGGCACCGACATGGAAAAGTGCTGCCCATCACCACCATGCGCAGAGTGTTCGAGCAGGCCCTCCAGGATAACCTTGATGGCAAGTCGGAGGCGGGGCCCACCGACGCGGCGCTGAAGGCGACCACCGTGGCAGGGTGGTCGGTGCAGAGTGCGACTGTCTTCGTCTCTCCGCGGGACGGCAAGCTGTCGGCACTCGAGCACGCGCCCAAACGTATGGAGAACCTGTACCTGTGCGACGTGCTCGACCGAGTCCGTGAACGTGTCTCAGACAGCGTACGACGGCGAGAAAGGCTGGACGAACATGCACTCCCAGACGTCCGGTGGGAGGTCGTCGAAGCGACGGTCGGTAGCAGACACCTCACCCCGCTGGAGAAGTGAGCCATCACCGCGGTCGTGGGCCAGCACCGCGGTCGTGGCGCCTGAGAAGATGATCGTGCGAACCCTCGTTGGAGACGAGCCCGTGCCGATCGACAGTTTTGCGTCCGAGCCCGACCAGCCTCTCGCTGGAGACGGGTCAGCCACCACCAGTGCCCTTGAGGAGCTCCGAGGGGCGGGATGGGCGGCGGTTCCGCGGGGGCGGGGCGGGACCGCTCGGAAGCTCCTCGGCTCTCGCACCTCCCAGCTCCCTCCCTCTGCTCACGCGGCCGAGTGGCAGGCCTACTGCCGAGGGGCACACTGTGCAGACGGCAGCCAACCGCATGTTGGCGACAGCGCGGCGGCGTTGGCCGCCAGAGCACGCGGGTGCGCGTGCATCACCAGCCCAGCTTGGAAGGATGCAGGGCACCGGCGCCGACTGAGGCGCGGCGACCTCGCGCTCAGCGCGGGGCTGAAAGTCCAGGCGCACCAGGACGTCCCCGGCGCCCCCTCAGACGGAGGGCGAGCAGCGGAACCGTCCTCAACTCCCGGGCCGATGCTGCGGCCAGGGAGGCACTCAGCCTGTGGCCCAGGTGGGCCCCAGCCGAGGCCACCCTGAAGGGATGCCTGTGCAGAGGCGCGGCGGGGCCTGGCGGACCTAGGGGCGGGTGCCGGCGAGCGGGCCTGCTCCCAAGGTGGAGTGGGCTCACCCGCCCCCGCGTGCGCGGCCCCCGACATTTGTGCGTCCGTGTTCTTGCAGCACGAACTGCACGAGGTGGCGGATGTGCCTCAGAGTATGGGCGCGAGGCGCCCAAGAGCTGGGAGAGCCTGCGAGAGTTCGCGGACTCACACGTCCTGCGGGGAGCGGTGATTGGCCCGAAGGGCTGCTCGCCTGAGCAGGGCGACTTCTTGCTTTACTGCGTGCAGTGCGCGCAGTATGCTCAGCTGCACCCCGCCGGCCTGGCCAAGAGCTGCCCAGCAAAGCAGCCTGGCGTTGTTTTAGACAATATTGGCAGTGAGCGCAGTGAGCGCAGTGCCTAGCGCACCTCTGCAGCTGGCACGTTTGGCGTCCACAGGGGGAGCACAACATCCTCTTCCTCCTCCTCCTCCTCCTCCTCCTCCTCCTCCTCCTCCTCCTCCTCCTCCTCTTCCCCCTCCCCCACCTCCTCCATGCCTTTCCCTTATGACACCCAGAGGCCAGATAACTCCTCCCTGTCGCAACCCCGAGGCCAGTCGGAACGGCGGGCCCGGGCGTTTCGCCTGAGACTTCCTTACCATGCATGAGCCTCAAGCTGAAACACTGGCAACATTTTAAAAGATGGAGAGCAGGTCGATTCCAATGTGTGGCTCTCACCATAGCGCCGCGCACATCCGTTTCAAAAAATGCAAGAGCTTCCTGGATTGAGGACGGGTCATTCTCAAAATGTGGCTCCCGCCTCAGCGCTGCACAAATTCGCTTCGAGCATGTTCAAGAGTTTCACGGATTGAAGGCGGGTTGTTTTCCAATGTGACTCTCGCCCCATCGCCGCGCACATTCGTCTTCAAAATGTGCAAGAGTTTTACGGGTTGAGGACAAGTCATTTTCAAAAAAAGTTGCTCTCGCCTCAGCGCCGCGCATATGGGCTACAAGCTTTGCAAGGGCTTCACGGGTTGAGGATCGGACGTTTTCAACAAAAAGCGGTTCTCGCCTCAGCGCCGCGCACATTCGTTTCAAATGTTTGCAAGAGTTTTACGCATTGAGGGCGGGCCGTTCTCAAAATGTGGCTCTCGCCCAAGCGCCGCGCACATTCGTTCTAACACTTTGCAAGAGCTTCACGGATTGAGGGCGCTCTTTTTCAAAAACTTGGCCGCGCACATGATGTGTAAAAAGTTGCAGAAGCTTCACGAATTGAGGACACGTCGTTTTC